TTCTTTAACGTTTTCAAATATTTATTAATTTAAAATAAAAATAAATAAACAAAGTTTTTTTTTCTTCTTTTAAAGAGGTTGAACGTTTGAGGTGGACAGCTGAAAGCCTAGAAAAATGTATGTCATGTATCAATTTATTCATTTACTCAAATTGTAGAATGGTCAGATGCCGTTAAGTAATTATCAGAGAGATATCTTTTCAAAAGAAAATAGTCTGTTTTATGAATTTCGAATCTTTCTTTAAACAAGAAAGTGATGTATTATTTCCTTTTCAAATTTATAAGGTTTTTATGAAAAGAGAAATAACGACTTGAATAATGAATTTTATAAGGCATTCAGCAAAAAATAATTATAACTTTAGTATTTTATTATCGTGCCTTTTATTTGCATCTAATACTACATTATTATTTTACCAAATATGTGTACATTTGCCATGTTTCAGTTTCAGACTTAAAATTGAAATGATTTAGGTTTTGAATTACCTATGTTATTTTTATATCTTAATTTTATATCTATAAGAAAACATTTGTATTTAAAACAACAAAATATTTTCGAAGCACAAATATTTCATGTCTTTGATTTTATTAGGTAAATCATATGATTACATAAGTAATAAACTGATCAAATAGAACAGTTTCATATTTTTTTGCAGTTAATCATCTTTCGAAATAAATTATTATGATCTCTTAACAATGTAATAATTTTTTTTTATAGTTGTTAAAATTTATGTTGTTTATTGAAAGTTCAAAATATTTCATGTACACGCTTCTTTTAAATATTTTTCTATAAATTTCAAATTTGTTTCCAGTAAAATAATATTTTATTTTAATATAATCTTTGAATTTCAAAAATTCATTCATAAGAAATTACATAATATGTTTAACTTAATATGTTGACTTAAATGTTTTTTTCTCTGCACTGTGTTATTAAATATAGATAAGTTTTACACTCAGCAGCGTATATTGTGCTTTTTTAATGATACATAATGAAAATGCATAATTTATTGCATTTATTATTGTAATTAAAAACCTATTTCTCTGTTATCTGCAAATAATTTTAAGGCAAAATTTGTCTTGAAAACTTGTTTTATTCAAAATAATACACAAAAGTGAAATAGATTTTATGTATAGCAGTTTTTCTAAACCTTTTTCTTAATCTAAATTTTAAACTGAAGTCATTGAATAAAGTAAGACACATTAAAATATAATTTCGAATATGCATCAATAATTTGTGCAAGGACATTATTTTTATTTAATTTCTTTAAGAAAATTAGAACACAGAGGTTTCTTATGTATACAAATTTAATTAGGAAAAAAAAACTAATTTTGTTAAGTCTAAGGTACAACAAAATATTTTCTTGATAAAATCACTGATAAGATTTGTAAATTCTGTAAATTTCGAAACAGAAATTTATAACGGTAGTACTTTGCCTACCGTGGGAAATATTAAAGAAAACTTCGTCCAGACAGTGGTTTAAAAAAATTAAAAATGATTTTTGTCACATTATCATTTAAAACTTTGTAAAATTTGATAGAAAGTTTAAGCATATTTGTGATATGTTTAAAATAGTAATGGAGAGGTTTCCTTACTTTTCTGTAGATCACAAAATTTGTAATACAAATAACTGATGACCAATATTTGAAATCATTACATAATGTATCATCAATAAAAACTGCAACTTTTGGGATTTGGTCAAGTCTCTTGAATTAAGTTAAGACATTCGATAACGTACATTTTAGAATTGAAAACGAAACTGATGAGCAATTAGCAATCCTTTCCCTATTTTAAAAATGCTCGTTAAGCAAATAAAACATAACCTTAAATTACCCACTAGTGGTTATTTTACAAGGACTTTTCTTTCAATCCAATCAAAACCCTATTCTCGAACAGGGTATCTGGAGAAAATAATCCTCAGTGATGTTTCATTCCTTTACATAGAAATTATTCTGGCTCGTTATCCCCTGTCAGGTGGAATAATTGCATCAATTATTTGAGGAAAGAATAAATCGACTATTATTCTAATCTGAGGCGTAGGTGGGCTGTTTTTAATACGTGATTTTTCATTCTTTATTATTTTCATTTCGAATATGAATCAAATGACATATCAATTTCTATAACTCATTGAAAAAGAATTTTTTTTGTTTTGTTTTGTTTGCAACATAGAATTACTCATCATTTTCGATTTCGTTTCACAGTTGTTTGAGGAAGATGTGCGAAATCGAGACATTTTATTTTTCCTTTTAAAGTTAAAATACATTCGACTTTCATAATTTCTAGAAAATTGTTACATTTTTAGCTTTCAAATAGATAAATGATTCATTATTATACATCTCTTAAGGTGTCCTTATATACAATTATTAGAAAAAGAAAATTGGTAATTGAGAAAATTATACCGGAAAAAAAATTTACGTTAACATGAAAGAAAATCAAAACGATTTTAACAGGGAAATAAAAATCGTTTGGGAAAATTTATTTTGATTTGTCCCCCCCCCCCTCATACATAAGTTTTTTCTCTTCTCAATTTTTTCCCTTTTTATAACCGATAAATGTGAAAAAAAGAAGAGATTTTTGAATTTTTACATGAACAATAAACTTTAAAATTGCGTAATTACCATTGAATTTCTGCAATGTACGACTCTGTTAACTATGAGTTATACTTCAACTTAAAACTTCATAAACTTAACTATTTCTCAAGATATTGAATGCTCTTCCAACTGAAACAACCTCTTAGCTTTTAACTAGTTTGAAGCTATGTTGAAAGGGTCTACATTCTTTAACAATAAATACGCGCTGAAATTAACTTTCAAGTTATACGCAACTTAAAAAATATCTAATCTAGTTTGATGCAAAGGAACAGTAAACAGAAAGTTAAGATTTTAATATTTAGAAGAAAAAAAATCCAAAAGTATGCCAAAAAAAATTTTTTTCTCAAAATCTCAACAAAAAATTTTTTTTTCTTCTTTTTTTTAAAGTATTATTTTTAATTGAAACAATGCACATCAAGAAACCTTTTAGTAGAAACTTAATTGATAGAAATAATTCGTAAATCGTTAAAATTGGAACACATAATAATTTGCAAAGTTTTTTTCGTCTATCTATTTTAATGTTTAAAAAGAAAACAACCTTAAGTAGGAAAACAAAGATTCGCTTTCATATAACAATAATTTAGCAGAATAAATCAAATTGTTTCATACTATCAGAGAGATGAATTTGACAATATTATTTATTAGACTGGATCACGTTTCCCTTTAAGTTTCTTCTGAAAAATGTTAAATATAATTGATAAAAGCAGCAATTGAAATTTTAAGTTGAAGCGTAATGAGATTTATTTCTTTATCCTTTGGGTCTGATTAATTTGATCATTTTTATACATTCGTAATTAATTCATCACATTCCATATTATCTAATTCAAATTTTAATTAACAACAAATCGTGTTGGACATTAAAAATACAAATAAAAAAGGCTTGAGCATTTTATGAATTATGTCCATGTAAAAATTAAAATATATATATATATGTAACTATGAAAGAAATAATTGCATTTAGGAATGTTTCAAAACAATTATAATGGATTGCTAAATTTTCTCTTATAACGAGAAAGAAGTATAACCATTATAGAATATTTTCGGTTATTTAATAGTGATTTAAGTTTATATCAATACTTTATAAATTAACTAGTGCCAGTAAAATTTGAAGGTTTTACTTGCAATTTAAATTTTTTTTTAAAAAATAATGTCTTTTAAAAATCATATTTTGTTGTAGTTTTTAATAATGATATTGCTTATTTTACTTTAAAAATTCGTATTAAATGCAACAAAAATTCCCTGTTTGGGTAAGGAATGGGTTCAATTATAATGCTAGCTGAAAACTAGGCTTTGTAATAAATACTTTTAGTGGTTACAAAACACGTAAGAAAGGAAATTAGACTGAGTTCTTTATAAAAATAATATTATTTTATATTATATATTATACAAATATATATAAACTTAAATAAAGCCATGCGTTTTCCTAATACAGAAATTCAATAATGATATCAGTTTTATATCCAGACTTGCGTTCGTTAGAAACATGTTGTTGAAAATATCTAATTTATATAGTTTTATGTAAATTTAAGACTTTTTATTAAAATGATTTTAAGTGTAAATCATAATCGTAAATATTTAATAATTTTCAACTTATTTTTAATAAACAAATTCTAATTAAATAGAGTTAAATAATGTAAAAAATGTGGGAACATTCCCACCTGAAATTGTAAAAAATCAGTGCCTAAAATTGAATAAAAATCTCTATCTAACACAGGAAAAACTCTAGATTAAAACTCAGGTTAACTTCTTTTTTAGGTTAATTTTCAGGTTAACTTCATTTTATAACAATACCAGATCGTTACCTCCCTTAATCTTGCATCATTTGAATCGAATGATGTTAGTTTATATATATTTTGAGTTTAAGGAAAATTCGTTTCAGTAGTTTTTATTGTTTAAAATACGAAATTCATGAATTTATATTTCATTGCAAGAAACAGCAGTGTCCAATGATAGAAAAACCTTAAATCTAATTTGCTAAAATGCAATGGCAATATATTAAATCTTGAAAAGAGATAAACCTGAAGGTTTACCATTTTTATGTTTTTTCTTTTTCCTTCTTTTCTTTTTGGTAGCGTTAAGAAAAAAGGGTTCTAATCCATCCCGGAGAAATTTAAAAAACTTATTTCTTATACTACATATAATTTTATAACCGTCGTTGAACAGTCGACCCAGTTTTGTGTTTACGACTATCAATATTCAATTGTAATTTTGTACCCAATCCTGAAGACAAGGGAACTCCTGGATCAAGTATCGGGAAAAATTTGAGGGAACTTTTTCAGGGAACTAACCCGTTGTTAAAGTTGTAAGGAGTTAAAAAAATTGCTAAAGTTGTAAGGAGTAGGCAAATCACCATTATTAAAATATTGCATGATAGTGTGATGGCAAAAAATTTAATTCTTGTATTTCTCTTTCCAGGTTAAATATCGCCAGACCACGTGACTAGGCCATCATTTTGGATGGTCACCGTCAAATAGTGAGTTTGGTGACCACAGCAACGAAGAAGGCTCCATGGATGTATCGGGGGACCAGGGACAGGGGCACCGGTGGCCCTACGATGGCCCCCGCATGGGCGCCGCTGGTATCGACGGATCTGGAAATCTCCTAGCGCCCGATGACGTCGACGTCTTCTTTCACTCTCTCGACAGTAACGGCAATCCCGTGAACCCAGCCAGCTATTACGCAAGTCCCGCTGCGGCCCGCGCAGTTCACAGTTACAGGCCACCACATGGTGAGTTTTATCTCCTTCTTTAATCAACCGCCAGATCCTATCTGGTGGGACAGCGTGTAAAAAAGAATCATTCCTTTAAGGAAACTTATTTTAATACTATTATAATTCTTTTTACAAAAAATAACAGTAATTTATTTAATCACTAAGTTAGAAAAATTTATTCTTTGCTTAAATAAGAAATTGCATATATTATTTTGATACGCAATTTATCACGTTTACTTTATTCAATTGGGAAATTAGCTACGTATTTTCAAATAATCTATCAAATATCAGGGTTTTTTTTTGTAAGCGTTGATACATCAGATCTGAAATTTTTTTTTTATCGTTTTATATTTGTATTAACTCATATCTTTTTTAAATGATTTCCTTTCGACATTTGTATCTTTTTTAATACCTGTTGAATAGATCTTGTATAAATTGTTGCACTAAGAAATTGTTTTTAAGTTTATTGTTCTAAAAAAATGATAAAGTAAATAATCCAAAGTCTAAATTTATACGAAAACTTTTTGTGTAACTTATTCCATCGGTGTCGAAACTGAAACGAAACCTCCCTTTTTATGGAAGTTCTTTGAATTTTTATGTTAGATCTCATTTTCATTACATTACAGTACATTTCTAGTACAGTTCTATCCTTTTTGCTTAAGGTGTTCTGTAAAAATCAATTCAATAGTGAAAAGTCTTCTTTACGATGTTAAAGCTATCGTACTGATTTTATGCTTTGAAAAACCAACGCTATAAGCTCTTAAAAAAGAAAATCAACGTTATTAGCTCTTCTTTTCCAAGAAACAAAAAAATTCTATTTTACTTTATACATGTGCCAACAAAATTTCAATGGAAAAAAAAATCAAAACTATTTCTCCCCTATTTTGGTATAGGATAAAATAATACCTTATCCTTGCTTATGAAGTTTCTACTGAGCAATGTATGAAAATGCGAAAGGTAGTATAAAAAATTTGAGGAAAAAAGAAAAGGCAAATACAGTGCAACTTCTATTCAATAAATAGGAATTACGTGAATTTNTATATATATATTTATATATATATATACATTAAAAAAAGCTATGATGGGAAAAACAAAAAATTTTATTGATGTAATGTATTGAGATCAGATCTAAATTTCTTCTTCTATCGAGTACAAGCATTTTAAGCAAACCTAACAGATTAAGTTTTAAAAAGTGTGATTTGTGACCTTTCTTATTGCTTAACGAGAAGGGATCATCGAGTTTTCCACTTCGGTGCTCAGTCAAAACAAACCGATTTCAAATCCCATCTCCAATTCATCGACAACTGTCGACTTCTTTTGGTCTTTCAAAATGACAGATAGCTATATTGTCTGACAGCGTCCTTCCTTCGGCCCTTTAATTGCCAAAGTGCCACGGTGGCATTGAATGGCACAATACTCGTGCTAATAAGCTGTGCGTGGCAATAATTAAGTGGCGATGAATAAAAGAAAGAAAAAAAAATTGTCTTCAAGAAGGTGTGTTCTGGTATCCCTCGCTTTTAATGAGCTGGTGTTACTGAGGTTGTTAGACGAATAAAGGAACTAACTTTCAATATGATATTCACGTACGTAACAATAATAATTAAATATAAAAAAATCTCAATATTATGATGAAGGTCGTTTGAATGCTCTAATTCAAATATTTCTCTTTAGAAGATAGCTTATTATATTTGAATATATATTCTGAGAACCGTTATTAAGGGCCTTCAGTTCATTCAGAATTTCGGATCTTATTAAAATAAGGATAATAAATGATCAGAAATGAGCTTTTTAAAAGCTATTTGATTAGGCCACGATGCAGATTGTGGATTTAAGCAACTTCGACCGACATTGAAAATTTTTTATTGTGTTTCTGACTGAATATTTTGTTTCGATAGTTGAAAAGAACTTAAGAAATTGTGCCTTGAAATAATTTTGATTTTTCTTTAAAAGTGATCAAGTCACAGTGAAAAATTCCTTTGTTATAAATATGTCCCAATGTCCCAAAATCAAATAAAGAACACTCCTAATTTATAGTAATGTCGCTTAATCCTATCTATAGTTTTTTTTTTTTATTTCTTTTCATTTATCATGTTCAAGTTTTATTCAAGTTTTATTTGGTTTCAAGTTTAAAATCGGTAGTTTTGTCACCTGCCTGCTATAAAAATGTATAAAATCGCAGTTTGAAAATTTAGCATGAATATATATTTTAAATGCATCTTATTTGTGTTTTGTAGATAATAGTTAACGTCAAAGAAGAAAAAGTCGTACAACTGCTAGTTAAAGTAGTTTTCAAAAGTAAAGCAATTTCTTTCAAATTAACAATTTGGTTTAAATTTAGAAAGCGTTGAAACTTTATCTTTAAATTCCTTTTCGCCTAAATTACACAAAGAAAAAGATGATCAAATTAAAATATGCCTCGCTTTCAAATTTAAAATATAACAGTAAAAAGCGTCCATGATCTGAGCGTCCACTTCTGAAAACAAATAATGTTAGTATATAATGATAATATGATGAGTCATCAATCAGAACATCTGTATGACTTTTCCCAACTGTTGTTCTTTTTATGCTTTAGATGTTCATTTGCAAAACATTTTAATATCTCTATTTGCACTATTTTCTAAAATAGAGTTATGTGCATAAACGAAAAGATCTATATCTATAATCGATTGATCCAAACTACATTAAAAGAGGCCTATATAATAACTAGATTGAGATCTTAATTTTATCCACGTTTGTTTTCATCAATCGAAATGATATTTTTTTAAAATTCCAATCAACTCATCACATGATTGTTATCCAACATTTAATGAAATCAGATATCCATCTCAAATGAAAATAATATCCATTGCACATAATAAGGTTTTCAAATATAGTCATTTCGTGACTTCTAGCTGATTTCCATCTCCCTCTTTCTGAATGAAAACAATAAATGCTTAAAAATGCTTTTCTAACGGCAACCGTCGGGGAAACTTACCTACCTTGCATATCTAATTAGAAAAAAATGCAAATAAAATTCGAATAAACATTCTATTTGTGTCAATCGAGGAGTCATCAAAGTTACAAATCAATACCACAGACTCCAAATCAATACAGATATCGGTTTGAAAAGAACAAAAGATTCTATTCAAGACTCCTGTATTTCTGGAAACACTAATTAGGGAATCCATTCTGCGGAACGATCTATGGTTTCGAGTAGGCTGGAATGTTCGATGGCAGTTCCTCTAAGTTTGACGTTTGCTTGATGGGAGTTTTATTCTTGAAATTTTTCTTTTCGAACACAATGAATAGTCATTTGGGCCTTCTTTTCAATTCGAAACAGTCATTGTTATTGAGAACGGAAATATTTGTACGTGAATGCGGAAATTTTCAAGACAAATGTATCATTGACAAGTCAAAAAAGAGTATTATAAGTAGTTTTGTTGAAGAAAAATTACAAAAATAATATAAGTTATGTTTATTGCATTCAAAAACTTATATTTCTGGTTAATATATAAAGAATTATTTTTGTTTAATTCAGTAAGCATTTGATATTCATACAATATGTCTCGAAGTGATCTTTTTAGATTTGAGAGCAATCGAACTTAATACAAGAATATGGAATAATTTCTGTAGCTTGTTCATGTATTAAAAACAAGTAAAATTTTGTCCTTCCTAAAAAAGGCTTCATTATTTCTTTATGATAGAAAATAGCCGCTGTACTTATATGTGAAAGGAGCACCTTTCTTAATATTAAAATTTCATTTAAACTAATTAAATCTATTTTTACAATATGATATAAAGCGTTTTAGTTCATAATATTCTTTTTTTATAATTGAAGTAAGTTTGATACATTTGTTCAGAACTGTAAAATTATAATTTATCTGTCTTCGTCTAAATCTTTTTTTCTTTCTTTAATATAGAAAATAACATACATTTTTCGCGAACATTACGAATGCTTTTGATTTCTAAAAAAAACATTTTTTTAGAAATCAAAAGCATTTTTAATATTTTTTTTTCAACATTCAAAAAGTTTCTACATTTTTATACGATTCAGACTCATGAAAATGTGAAAAATTGAAAATTACTCAAGAAATTTCTCCCAAGTATAAAAATTCTCTCCAAATTAGCAGCTTTTTAAATAAGTTTAATTTTTTAAAAATATAGAATAGTTTAAGCAAAAAACGAATAAAAACTGAGCTGCACATGGATAAATTTAAGGAAAAAAATTGAATCATGAAAAGAGCACGAAAAATTTAATTACTTTTTCAGCTTTATTTATTTTGAATATTTTTTTTAAATCCAATTTTATTTTTCAATGATATAGTGCGTATAGTGCAAAATTAACACTTTGTTTCAATTTTAAAGCACTCTATCTGTGACATTTTTATTCTTTTATGCAAAAATTTTTTGGAATACAGCCGTAACTTTCAAAAAATTTTATAGCTCTTAAATTTTTTCAATTGAAAAACATATTATCAATCATAAAATGTTTGCATTTTACTAAACATTCATTTTATATTTGATAGATCACGATATGCATCTTTCTTGTTTTTGTCTAAAAATGAAACAATAGCTATCAAAGTTTTGAATATGCTTTAAAAATTTGATTGATACGCATTTTTTTCTTCTTTTTTTTAGAACTTCCTATCTTGAATGCTTGAATGACAAGCAACTCTTAAAATCACTCAATGGTCATTTGGATATTATCTGAGTTATCTTTTTTTCTGTTTACATTTTGACAATGAATCATAATTTTGTGATAAAGTTTCAAGCAAAAATATCATTCACTTTTATCATAATAAGGCATAGATTGACATGTATATATACACAACAATAGCTGTAGCTTTGTATGATACTATAGTTGAAATCTTGCGAAACAATTTTTAGTAATTTTTTTTGGACAAATAGGTAAGATTGCATTTTAAATTAAAGACATTTTTAAAAGCTATAGGACAAATTAGAATGTTTATTGATTATTACAGATTACAATATTCAATGTAATTTAGCAAATTAGGGCATTAAAATTTAATAAAAAATTA